CCCCTCAAAACCCAATCTATGAGTCCTTAGTAGGTAGCAGAGGATGAGGTCTGCTAATTCTAAAATGGAAAAGAGATGGTTTTCATCTCAAGAGGTAGCTCCTGCCATGAAAATTGTGACATAGAAGCCAGAAACAGTTGATCTGTTAACTGCAGTTACTATTCTACAGGACATTGTGTGTTTAGAAGTGATGTGTTTCTAACACAGTAAAAGAACTGTGTGTGTAGCACATGTAAAGAAATTTTAGTAACCTAACTGGCTTTATTAAAGCTTTTATTATCTTCTTTCTATATTTTTTTTAGTGTAAGTATGTCAAACTCATGTAATTTGAATAAGGGATTTGTGTCATAACTCACAAATAGCTTGAAAGCCTCTGAATATATATTGCCTACTCCCACAGCTGTAGTGTGCTGTGCCTGACCAGGAGATGTGTCTCAGGTGACATTTAATTCAAGCCTCAAAATGATTTTGACTGAGAAGCTGGAGGAAACTGCAATTTCCTCATTATTTTGTTTATTTTGTGACCTAAATAATGTTGCTGCAATTATTTGCATTCTTTCTGCTTTACTTTAAGCTACATGATTAACTAAAAGAAACAGGTAGAAGCGATGTAAGCCTAAGTTAACCAACAGCCTAACTGTAAGTAGTTACAACTAAGGGACTGTATTGGCTGATAGTTATCAACCTGTGTGAAAACACTAATCACAAGGGTGATTTTAAAGTCTTATGTTTCTGATTTGTCCCTTGGTTAAAATTAAATTACAGGCAGAAATGAGTAAAATGAGAAAGTATGAACCAAACTTCTTAAGTTACTAGTTATTAGGATTGTTTCATTCCTTATTTGTTTGCACCTGGGTGAGTTGCTTTGCATATACATTTTAACAAAACACAAAGTTTACTGCAACCACAAACATTTCTATTTCACTTAGACTGTTTTTAACCTATCTTGGATGTTATTTTCAAACTTAAATTTTAAAGCAATCCTGTTTTTTTCAAGGTAGGGTAATATGGAAAGTGCAACTACCTCTCTTCAGCTCTAGCACTGCCCATTGTACTTCAGGATTTCTGTCCTTTTCATCAGCAGATTGCTCTGTTCTGTTGCATTGTAGATTGATAATACTAGTGCATTCAGATCTTTAGTGCTCAACTGATGCTTACTGAACTAAATCTGAGTAACTTTCATTGCTGTCTAGGTCATGAAAGTCCTTTGCAATATTAAATAAAACTCATTGTAGGATAGTATACTTGGATACTTGATCAAGTTTTAAAGTCAGAATTATGTAATCAGCTGCTGGAAAGCATTATGTAGAAACCAGATCAGCAGTGGGACTTTCTGAATGACATCATGACTTAATCTAGGTTTAAGAAAAGCATTTATGTAAATGGCAACCACTTGTAATTCCAGATTGAGACCCCAATAACTTGGCTGGATGTAACTGTAACATGTCAGCATCAGTGAGAAAATCCCTTTTTTTACAGGAAACAACTGAAAATTGGAAAGTATATCCTGTTGTTAATGTGCTTCTTCCTTAGGTGTTTGACTTTGCCTGCTCTTCAGTTAGTTGTGAGCCTGTGTAAATCAGCTGGGCTGTGGTGCATGTTCTAGCATTGCAAATTTGCCCACAGTGAATGAAAGACCTTAAGTTATGGTGACTTGAGCCATCTTTTCTGCCTGAAGGGAGAAAGCAAAATTTAATTAGTTGTATTTTGTTGGTGTAATAACTTATTGAATAGTTTGAGAATGTAGGTGTGTGATATATACAGGGCACACAGTACGTGTTGTAATCCACATTGAATTTCTTACCTTGTTGTAATTCATATAAGTGAAATTTAATTAAATTTTTCACTTGTGGTTCATGTGCCATTAGGTACAAGTCTTGTTTGTCAGTACCATGGATAAAATGCTATTAATGAAATTGTTCTTGCATAGAAATGTCCAGGGTTTGTCTGCAGTACCTTGTTCTTCAGGAGCAGGTTCCTTTAATTGGTGAGGGGTTTTGCTTACATTGGTCAAAACTGCTTGCAAGATTGATTGCAGGAACTGTAATAGGGAGTACAGCCTCCTGGAGGACGGAGGGACTGTGAACAGTTCTTTTCTGTTTGGAAATGAGCCAAAAATAGCAGTGAGGACAGACAGTTGAATGGCTCTCTAAGAGGTTGTTACAATATACACGTTCTCCTTCTGTGTTGCTGCTTTTACTTCAGGTCATTTGTGAACTCTTAATGGGTGACTCCTACTTAAGTTGTATGAATTTTCAGGAAAGAAAGAAGTGGTTATCTTTTCTAACAGATTTCACAGACCTGCACTTTTTAAAGGCAGAAGAGCCTATGCTGGAGCTGGATGAGTAGCACATTTGGCTTTACCAAAGAGAACAGAGAGCTGGACATTTTACCCCTAATACTAGAGAATCTGGCTTTTTTTGGCCTGTGGGACCTAGGATCAGGTGGAGTTTGAGTTGAGGAAAATTTATGAACTATTAAAGAAGTGATAATTCTCATAACACACTTCTTACTCATCTAGGCTTACTGGAAAACTGTATTTTGAATTTAGTTAAAGCTGTCATGTGGCTTACCAGGGTCTCCTGATGGGTGCGAGATTTAAATAAATTGTAGTAAATGTTGCAGAGAAACTGCAACTGGGTTTTGTTTTCATTGGAGAAGAGAGATTATGGAAACCTAGAAGAATAAAAACCCAGGGAGAGAAACAGCATTTTGGTTATGATGTTTCAATGGAAGTCAAAGCTTCACACGTATGCTGCCTGCGAGTTTTTTTTCAACATAGCAATTACTAGTGGAAGCTCAAGAAATAAATGTATGCCTCTTCCCCTCACATTTTGGAAAAAAATGTGCACAGCAAATTGCAGATACCATACGTGTGTGCATTAAATGTAAGTGGTTGCATTGTATTATTCAGAACTGCTGTACTGGACAAACAGATTAGGTAAAGAAACTCCTTTTTGCCTGTTAAATTACTGTTTTGGAGTGAAGTTAGAAATGAAGTTTGAAACAGTTGCTGAGAAACAGGCCTCCTCCCCTGCAAAGTGCATAACTATGGATGCATAAACTTCTTATAATTGAATAAATGCCCTAACCACTGGACTACAGAACTGTACTTTGTCTGGCCCAGTGAGGCTTGTGCTCTTTACTGCACAGTAGCTTATACAGCTCATACACTAACACAAACCCACTGTTTCTCTCTTTCTAGGTGAGGTAAAAAATCCTTGCTCAAGCATTACACCTGTGGTTAAAACTTGTACTTCTGGATTTACTATTCTGTTTCATAGTACAAATTCCTGTGACATGCTTTATGGTAGATTGGTGTTGCACTGATTTGTACAAATGATCAGCCCATGCCACCTGTTCCTGATGATCATTTGAGGCTCAATGACATTATGCTAATGCTGACTAACGAATCTTAAGAAATGGAAATTAATCTGTTTAAAGGAGAAGGGAAAAAACTCCCCAATCCAGTTAAGTCTTCAATATTTAAAATAACTACACCATATATAAGATATATGTTATTTTCCCCCATTCTTTGCAGTGTTTTCTATTTATTTAGTTTCATGCTGTTTACTCTTTGCCCTTCAGAGTACAGGCAAGTGTGACTAGCTTGTGCCTTTTACTGATTTTCTCAGTGTTCATCTTTCTGTGATGTAACAGATTTAGGCCTAGGAAAGGGGCTGCCAATGGGGATAGTTTTAGTTTGTTTGGAGTGTTAGCTTCGTGGTACCCAAAGTGAAGGTGAGAAAACATCCTGAAAGTCTGGATGCTTCAAAGGCCTCTTGCTTGTATTGGTCAACCGTGAAATAAATGTACTGGGGATTTCTTTCCATTGTCTAGCAAATGAGGTTGAATCTGGTGATAGAATGGCCATCTGCATATGAAGGTATCTGTGTTCCTCTAATGTGGCATCTTTGTAGTAAAAGTGTGAATTGTCCTGATGGTTGGCCAGGAAGTTAATCCCACCAGAAAGGTGAGAGAGGAGCATAGAAAGAGAACATTTCTAACACCACTTTTGTTTTTCTTAAAACGCAGTTTAAAATGACAATGGAGGAGTGCTTTAAAGAGTTGCATTTTTCTGTCTTGCTTTTGAGTTAGTTCCATGTCAAAAAGTGATAGTAATTCCGACTGGGAAGTTGCGACTGTGTCTTCTGAAGTATGTTAGTGCTGCTAGAATCACGGGGTTAATGCATTAAGAGTTACTGGCTTGTGTCTTTAGAATGTGAGTTGCTCTTGGTAGTGCCTTAAATAAGGATCTGCTGTTTGCGAGTTCATGTACTGGTAAGAAAAAAGAAAAGGTTTGCTAAGAAAATCATAGTGGGGCAAAAATGTGAAATTTACAAAATTGATTTACTTCAGCATGTACTTATATTCATGTTCCTTCTCCTCTATTCCACAACATTAACTTGCAGTACACAACTGTTTTCCCAAGGATGGGCTGAGTGGAGTTTAAAGCTAAAAGTCAACATATTGTGTACCTGAATTTAAGTAACTTGTACTATGTTGTAAATATTTTCTTGCATATTTTTTCAAAGTCACCCTTCAGGGTGTTGTGTTATATTCATGCTTCAGGTATTAATGACATGAAATGTGTCATTAGGTTGCTAATTTATTACACGTGACAGATTTTGTGATACTTTGAACTTCACCTTGGTAAAGAAAATGATTTTGTCCAGATTTTGTATTGTGAAATTATGTTACTTGAAAGATTTTTTTCTTGGGAAGTGTTAAAACAAGATTGAAAGCAAAACTTTCAGGTCACCAATCTTCCAGAAATAATTGATGTTCCATACTAAGACAGACTCTAGTGGATCATCTTTTCCCAAATTAAGGAGTTAATTTGAAGTGAGGCAGCGCATCTGCTAGTATTAAGCCATGTGTTGTGTTATTTGCAGTCAAATGGAAGTGGGATAGCACCAAGGAAAAAAAAGGTTGGGAATGTGTTTTATTCTACCTAAGGCAGCTGCTCTGAGCAGTGACAATATTCCATAGATTTCCATAAGTACAGCTTTTTCTCTCTGGGTCGTAGTTGCCATACCAGGCACTGGGATAAGAAGGGTGAGTTTCTGGGGGAGATTTCTGCTGTTACAGATTAGACAGCAGTTATGCTGTCAGATATTTCAATATTTGAAAAAGGAAAGTATTTATCAGCCAGCTGTCACACTAATAACAGTAAAGCTTTGTTTGGGCTGTGACAGTGAAGACGTAAGAAGTGTAATGCTGCTCAGAGGAGGTTTCTCTATAGGGCTGGTTACTGGTTAGGAAATCCCTCATTCCCACATTTGTGGTTGCTTCAGTCTGTGAGCAGCAGAGTCTTTAGAAAAGATACCTTACAGTAGAGCCAGAATTTATATCTTTAGGTTTGAATCTCTCGTTGAAGAACTCATCATAGAACACTCACTGCTTTGCAAATCACAAATGCAGTACACTCATACAGACTTCAGTGTGTGTCACACCCTTCTCATTTGGGGTATTAAAGCTGTGGGGCTCTGTGTTTTCCATTATACTTGCTGTCAGGAAAATCTTAGCACAGTGCTAACGGAATGTGATAAAGTGTTGGATGGAAATGAAGCAGTCAGCAGTCTTGTTGACTATGGTCTGCACTGTCTGGTCTTTTTTGCAGTTGAGGATTTGCAGCATTTCAACATTGTTCTGCTTCTGCCACTGTTTATGATGGTGTTGTCATTTGTATAGGCCATATGAAGGTGCTTTTGGTCAACACTTTATCGCAAAGTTTTAGTGGTTCTTTTTTTCTTCCCCCCCCAACTCAGCTGAATTTTGAGAAGTAATTCGCTTTAGAGTATAGGTGTAAAGATTAATGCCCATTAAGTTATTTGCTAATTTTAATACAACTGGAGAATTTGCAGAGGATGAAAGTGTTGCAGTTTATTAATTTCTCTATGCATTTCCCATAACTTTAAAAGCTTTTCTTCCATTTCTGTCAGCTAATTTGAACTTCATGGCTATTCTTTTGTTGCTGTATAAAATGTTGTGTGGACACATCTGCTTAACCCATTGCTGTTCACTATGGAGGAGAACATCACAGCTGTTTGCATTATAATATCAGCTTCATCTTAACTTGTTTCCTGCTTTTTTTCAAACCGGTGGCATAGCCCTGATCACTGCTAGTTTTTGTCACCACTGCATTAAAAAATGCTCTTGTCCTTCAGCAGAAAGCTGCATAACTGACTGAGCTGAATGGTAACCTCAGAGGTGTGTGATGCAGTGTGCAGTGGCCATTCGTGTGTCTTACCCCCATGGTGCTGTGACAGCTCTGCATTGCACAGAGCAGACTTCATGCCTTAGTGCTCCAGGCCTGGTTGATTACTGTATAGTTGTCTGTATGATTTTGCACTTCTAAACTAGTTCATTTTACATAAATGTGCACATGGAAATTAAAGAATGGTTGATGTTTTATGTGTGTGTGGGTGAATTTTGTCTTTATTGTACATTCCACGTTAAGGAAAGAAACTGACTGTGATGTTCAACTTTTTCTAGAAAAAAGAATTGTTGGATTTTCATGCTGTGAATTTATTTCTGTGCCAAAAGTTTTGGCTAATGTGCTTCATTAATGAAATTTTTAACTTTTTTATTTCAGCAAAATTCCAGCATTTTTGAATGTGGTGGATATTGCTGGCCTTGTGAAAGGAGCCCACACTGGACAAGGCTTAGGAAATTCCTTCTTGTCTCACATTAATGCCTGTGATGGGATCTTTCATCTGATGCGTATGTAAACTTACCTGTTTTCTCTAGCTTAAGGACAGCATTATTATACTCTAATTATTAACCAGGGAGCAAATATCCATTACAATTTTAACATTTACTGTTCAATTTGAAGTCATCAGGTTTTGGTTTTTTCCAACCTAAACAATCCTCTTCCTCTGCTGTGTAACAGGTATGGCTTTCTTCCCTGGCATTGACTGAAGACTTAAAAAGAAACCAGGTTTTTGGAAATCTGCAGTAGTGCTTTGTTGTTCTCTTTTGTCAGCAGTGCATGGCAGTTTATTTGTTCAGTTTCACAAAGGAGGAGGAATGAAATGTGGTAACAGAAGGCTGAAATGGAAGTAGAAAATGAAAATATGGAGTTAGTGGCAGACTCTAGGATTCTGTTTCTCACAGGGCAGATCTCACTTCTTTCCCTTTCCTGATCTCTGTGTGACTTATATTGAGTCTTGAATACTCCCCTGCTCCTCCCCACCATGTGGATTCTGAACACTTCTCAGTTAGACCAAGGCTTTTGATTCCCTTTCATCACCTATTAGCACAATGCAGAACTGGCCTTCAGAGTCATATTAACAGTACTTGCAAACTTGGCACTTAAAATCTTGTTGAAAGTGTGTATTGGTTTGCAAAATGCACTTGAAGTGTTGAGAAAAGTTTCTGGTCAGAAAAGATCAAGTTTAATATTTCTGCAAATTTGAGGAAACTGGACACTTGTTGTCTTGATTAGTAATTATTAAACAGTGAGTGATGAAACAATAGAACAATATAAACCAAAAAAATAGATCCAATAGATTGGAACAAGAACTTCTGTGGGCAGGGTGTTTCTGAAACACAATCAGTATGAGTATAGTAATATATGGGTGTAATTTAAATATTTGTAACTACCCAGTAGCTATTCCTACAGTAACACTTGACAAATGGGGAGGTGGAGATGAGTTTCCTCAGATTCATTGCTAGCCTGGGATTGATACTGTTTTGCTAGGTGTCAGTTGAGAACAAGTGATAAACTCTTTATACTTGCTCTGATACTTGTATCTTAAATGCTTGTTAAGGAACAGATTGATGTAATAGCCCGTGGAGAAGATGCTGTTTAATCTATGTGTTGAATAATCCTAAGTGTTTTGTTCAGGTAGGTATTTTAAGGGACAACACCATTTGTATTTTCCTTTGGGCACTGCAAGCCGAATGAGACTGTTGTTGTGGTTTTTTTAACCATCTGGATGCTTACTTTGTATCTATTTCTTCTACTCTAGTCTTGCATTTGCTTGTTACATGTTTCACTTCCCTTCAAGGATTCTGAAGTGTGATGGCTGTGAAATAATTTGTTCCTGTTTTTTTTCCTCGGGAACAAAAAATATAATGGAAGCACTTTTAAAGTAGCGCTTTCTTTTTGTTTTTATAATCTTAAACTTGCCTCTTATACTGCTTGCTAGATATTTTAGCTGGAATGCAAGCTACTGATGAACTGAAGTAGAAATTGTGTGTGTTGATTGCCTAATAAACACAAAGGTCTTTAAATATATTACAAAGGGGTATTAGTAATAAAGCTAATGCAAAATGTTGTGGTTGAAAGATACAGAATTACTTCCCCCCCATAAAATGCATAGTAGTTCTACTTTCCCCAAAATACCATAAAAATGAAGATTTGGCACTAAAAACTAGCAATAGGCCTCAGGTAAATAAATTTTTTAACAGGAATTCATTAGTTACATAGCACAAACTAGTTAAAACCTGTAACTCACTGAAGTTTTCAACATGCCATCTTAGCTTATAATATAAAAATATATTAAGTCAAAATTGTTTTCTGTGGGTCTGTGTCATGCCTGGAGCTCTGAGATTATAGAAACTATCTAAACTGCTTTTGTAAATCCTTAAACTTTCCAGATCCTGAGAGGATGAAGCTTCTTTGTTGCCTTTGTTCTTAATGGGTCCAGGTTTTTAATGCACTGTATGTCTTTGGGAACCAGTGCCCTGAAATCAGCTCTCAGTTTTCAGCCTGGCAGGTAGGCACCGAATCTCTGCAGCCACATAGAAACTGCCTTAAAAGGAACCTAGGCAGGCTCTCCTGTTCCGAGGGAATAGGGCACTGCAAGGTGGGGTTTATATGCCACTAAGCTGGAAGGGAGGTGTTGCTGAAGATGAAGTGAAGATGAGAATGATAAAATGCTCCTAAGAAGAGCTGTACTAGGAAGTGATCAGGAGCCTGCATTTTCAAAGCACGAAAAATGTGGTGTTTGTTTTCACTAATGTTTTGATTTGACCTGGAACAAATTTTCGCCTTTGCTCCATGTCTTTATGCTGTTATGCTATGCACTATTGCTGCGCAGGGTGATGGCTTGCATGGGAAGCAGAGTCCTTTGGAGAATTGCTCTTTTTCCTTATTTAGGGATGCCAGGCAGGAAGCTGGAAGCAGGTCATTGTGGGGTTCGTGCTGCAGACTCTAGGTCTGCATGCCTGAGTATATTGATGAAAAGCTTGTTAGGCTCAGACTTAGTTTGGTTCAGTTGGTATTTTTGCAGAAAATTCTTCGAGAATTAACTCAAGTTGTAGTAATTATGGTAATGATAGGCAAGAAAGTGGCTAGCTAGGAATGGAGAGCTTTTCTTGAGTGTGGTGAGACAAACTTTGGGTGTCTCACCAAAGGGATTTTATAGTCCTAAGCTAGGGGTTTTGATCCTGCTTTCTTTATTCATTGAGGATGTGTTGAATTGTGTTTTCTTTAGGACAGAGGGTTTAGTTGTGTTTTTTTTACTGGTATTTAAGCTAAACATTTTGATCTCCATACACTTAAAAAGATCTAGGGATATAATTTACTTCTGGCCAAATCCAATTATGCAAACCTCAGACAGATATATTTGCTTATGTATTGGCTGAGTGAATAGGGAGTTTCATTTTAAAAAGGTTGTCTGTCCTGGGCACTGATGTCTACAGCATTAGCACCTGGCACATGCTTAAAGGTAGTTACAGCTTTGTTAATCTTCCAGTTTCACTGTTTAATTTGAAACATTTCTGACAGTTCTGTTTTCTCTGTTTCAGGTGTGTCAGGGTTTTAACTGAGGCAGCAATGTTTCTGTGGTGACTGAAGGCTGTTTGAAGGTTGTGATAGTGTTTCTTCTGAAGTTGCATGGCTTTAACCACCTTTCAACTTTTATGGCAGATCAGTCACAAGTGCTTGTAGAAAATTGCTTTCTTTGTATGGTGAACTATAAATGGCAACCTTGTTACAAGTGTAAATTTACAAATTACTCTTAAACAAAGCTTCAGTGGAGAGAATGGTAGATGTCAGTATTTAGTCCCTGCTATAGCTCTGTTGAGTTTTTGAGTGTACTGGATGTTAAACAGCCAGAGCTCTTCATGTTTCTAAGTTTTTCTTCCCGCTGATATCCTGCAGTCCTAGTTTTCTAGAAAATATGTTCCACGTTTTTCTCCTATTTTTAGTTTCTTTAATGAAATCCAGTCTTTCTCTTCAAAGTTAAAGAAATTGGGAGGAAATTTGTCCGTAAAATACTTTGCTATCAAACGTTCCATTTTAATGACTAAAAACCATTAAGGTTGGATACCTGATGTTTGAAGTAGGGCAGGCAACACTGGCTTTTATGGAAGAGCTCACCTGTGTGCCATCACCTGGTGTCTGAGTCCTGCAGAGGAACACACGAGCTGCCTGCGGTGACATGGTGCTGGGGAGTGCAGGCACGTAGGGGTGGGAAGCTCCTGCTTTGCCCCTCTGCCTGGAAGTGTGTTTTGACTTCTCAGCAGAGGAGCCATAGCTGCCTTTTAGCAGCAGGATGGGGAGTTTGGTAACTGATAATCCGTGAAATCTTGTTCTTTGTGATAAGAGTGAAAGAACCATGAAGCTAGGTAAACATCCCCTGCGGTCTCATAGAAGTGACTGGTGTGACCAATGTGAATTGGTTCCTAGAAAGCTTTAATTGCTTTTACTCCAGTTTTATGTCTGTTCAAACCTTTAGTATACCCCTTGGGTCTGCCTCCTTCAGGGTTTTAGGTAACTTCTAAACATGTTTGTCATAGCTTAAAGCTTGGATAGATATGAATTTTGTCAGCTGAGCATAGTTTCTTCTTGTTTGAAATAAACTAATCAAAACTGAGTTTGACAACATGAGTATTGAAAATCAAGTTGACTCCTTTTGTTTTAACATCATGAGGGTGAATGGGAACTCACAGCAATCCTGCCAGTGTTTTGATTTGCCTGTAAAAATCAGTGATGATAACCAAATTATTTAACTGAATAAGATACATCCTCTTTTTTGACTTCATTTTTTGACTTTCTATATATAGAAAGATGCTAATCATTCTGTAGCTTTTATATACTGAGGCATGATGGGTTTTTTTCCCCATATTCTCTAAGAAGAAGTCATACTTGCTGATTGCTGCTCCTGGAATCTGACTGTTACAGAGAGGAGGCATATGAGGATATCACTTAGCCACACTCCACTGCACTAACATTTCAGTGAACAAAGTATGAGTTACATCTCATCCCTTCAGCATGTGTGTTCTGTGCATTGGGAGTCACAGTGGCTCTGTTTATGCAGCTGTAACTTGACTGTGTCACTTTTAATATCTGAAGCTGTTTTTTCATCTTTGTAATGTGCTAAAATTCACCCTGAAATGATGCAAACGTAGCTACCTTACAACAATTTGATTTGCAGCATATACTACGTTTTTGTTTTATATTGCTAAATGTAATTGCAGCTGGTTTATAAAATGGTTACTCGTTTAGAAATACAAACCTTTCACTGCTAAGCTGCCGAAGCTTAAAATCAGTTTGCACGTATTAAACTTGTTTGTGTTACTCAGTCAAGATGTATTGCTGTATGCTATTGAGTATAGAGGATAATTCTTACTGAGATTTTTTGCTTCCTTCTTATTTGTTGTTAGAGCAGCTAAATTAAAGTATTTGGAGTAGCTTACAGTTCAGCTGAACTTTCAGTTGGCTTTCAGTGACTTGTGCATATTAAATCCAGAAATTGTGACAGCTTTCAAAT